ACACACACACACACACACACACACACACACACACACACACACACACAAAGAAATTGTCAAAAAAAAAAAAGCCAGTAGTTTGGTTTTGAGGATTAAGTCCTATTTACTCACTGCATCTTTTCTGATGAGCCGAAGGCATGAATGGTAGAAGCTTCCACGAAATCTGGCCTTCACATTCTGAAGAAGCCCAGACTCCCATATAGCCCTCTGCTAAACCTGTTCAGGTCTCTGTTCATTTGGATTTCACAGCAGAGTGCTAAGAACAAGCGGTATACAGGTTCTTTTAGCTATTTTTCTATTTTAGCCAAATATACTGGGAATTGGTAGAAAATGATTTTTTTCCACACTATTGTGCACTGAACTCAGGACCTTCTACATGATAGGCAGATGCTTTACCAGTGAGCTCCATCCCTAGTGGGCAAATGGTTTTGAAGGCATCGAACATTGGCAAACCAAAGAGTAAAGTACCATGAAAGCACTGCTAATTATGAAACAAAAGGTCTAAATCTTTTGTTTGTTTTGTCAGATAAGTGGGGGCACATTTATAATCCTAGTGCCTGGCTGGTGGAGGCAGGAGGATCAGAGGTTGAACACTAGGCTTGCCGATATAACAACTTTGAGGCTAGCCTGAGCTACTTGAGACCCTGTTTCTAAAACAAACAACACCCTAAGTCCTAACTCTAGTTTGTTCCTACTTCTCCCTAAAACTGAAAACGAACCACTCTTTAATTTGTGTCTTCCCAGGAGAAAGTGGTAATTTATCTGCTTGTTGGGCTGTGGAATGGCAGAGGAGACAATCTGTGCTCTGGCGTGTGCCTGAGCGGCTGCAGAGGTAGCTCAGTCAGTAAAGTGCAACTGTGAGGACCCGAGTTTGGCTCCTAAGTGCACCTGTAATCCCAGTGCTGAGGAGGCAGAGACTGGAGGATTCTGAGGCTACACTGGACAGCCAGTCTCGCCTGATACCGAGCTTTAGGTTCAACGAGAGACCAGTATCAAAAACTAAGCAGCTGAGAAAGACACTCGATGTCAGCCTCTGACTAGGAAATAAAGTTGAAGAGGTTACTTTTCTCCTTTGGATGTAATAACGTTTTCATAAACACACGGATGCTGTTTGCCTACTCAGGTCTCTCCATGCTTGCCTGGCAAGTACCTCATGGACTGAGCTATCTTCTAGGCTTAGTTTAAATATTAAAAAAAATGTATGTCATTATAATCTTAGGTTCTTCCTCCTTAAACACATGCCCAACTTTTATCTCTTTTTCAAAATCAGTGCACCAAGGCACCCCAACAATCCTACGGATGGCACTTCTGGGTACATTATTTTATTCTGTTGGCACATACAGTGAGTAGCAAATCATAGTTACCTTTTTTCTTTTTTCTGTGTGTGTGTGTGTGCGTGTGTGTGTGCGTGCGTGTGTGTGTGTATGCTGTATGTGTGTGTACATATCCAGAAAAGGATGTCTGTTATCTTGCTCTACCATTCTGTCCCACTCCCTTAAGCCACAGCCTCTCACTGAATCCAGAGAACTCACTGGTTTTTGGTTAGTCTGGCAGCCGGCAAGCCTCCATGAGCCTTCTGCATCTACATCCCTGACAGGTGCATGCTGGGAATCCAAACGCAGGTCCTCATGATTGCACAGCAAGCACTCTCACCGCTGAGCCAGCTCCCTGGCCCGTATGGTCACTCCTTACAGGTCTAAACCAAATAATTGCTTGTATGAAGGACTCACAGCTAACCACAGAGCTTCCCATAACTGAAACCCACTTCTCTACCAAGCAGGCCCCATGGATAGACTCTTCTCTGAAGCTAGAAGACCACCTCAAACAACAGTGGTTTTCATGCTTATGATGCCAGCTGTCACCCTGGCTTACCTCAGAACAGGTCTGAAATACTTCGGTGTGATAATCACGGCCTCGTGCACCTGTCAGCTCCTTCAAATCGTGCCCAGATGAAAACACAGGGCCCTCAGCTGCGAGTGTTTCCAGTTGAGAAAAGAAAAAAAAAAGTTAACAATCAGAGGCAGAAAAATGGCAAAACGCAGTGACTTGAGAAGGCTGTGGGATCAGTGCTTTTTATGAAGCTCTGTCTGGTCTGATGATTTTATTTTTGCACTCAGTCTGGCCTAAGTATATCGACTTGTGCTGGTCCTTTGAAATCCGCCATGCCTGAAGCAGTGCCCCTATCATCCAGTGAGGTCAGAGTGTGAACAGAAACATGGTGCCACCTGGCTCCAGCTCTTGATTTTACAGAAAGGAGCTGAGGATGTGGCTCCTGTCACTCCCCTGATAAGCTGAGAATATTTCCTCCCATTTCCCTTGTGACAGGCAATGTTATCCTGCTTTTACAAGTGAGAAAGTGGTGTTGTTAAGATGTTAGCAGCCTTTCCTTGTCCAGCTTACCCTCATATGCCTGCTGCAGGCTCCCAATTCCAACTTCTTAGCCCTTCACCATATAAAACAGTTGAAAACTTCTCTGTCTGGCCATCGTTAAGAAGGGAGCCCTGGCTATTTCAGGAGACACTGAGGCATAAACAGAGCATCAGCAAACAACGCCTGCTGTATTTTTCTAGGGTGCGTGAAGATGCTGGGGTGACTTTTATTAATGCCATTGCAGTACATATGAAGTGACGGTTTTATCTTTTTAAGAATTTACTTTTGCTGAGTGGTGGTGGCAACACGCCTTCTGTCTCAGCACTTGGGAGGCAGAGGCAGGGGGATCTCTGTGAGTTTGAAGCCAGCCTGGTCTACAGAGTGAGTTCCAGGACAGCCAGGGCTACACAGAGACACCCTGTCTTGTGTACATCCCTCTGTGTGAGTATGCACATGTGAGTGCCGGTGCCTCTGGGGACTAGAGGTGTTGAATCTTCTGGAGCTGGAGTTATATAGGGTGGTTGTGAGCCACCCATCATGTGTGCTGGGACCCAGCTCAGGTGCTCTTCAAGAGCAGCAACTGCTTCTGAACCACTGGCTACCTCTTCAGCTCCAAAATATTTCCATAAAAATTTCTCCCAGAAGGTCTCGAAAGATGGCTTAGTGGTTAAGATCACTGGCTGCCCTTCCACAGGACATCTCAGCACCCACATGGCAGCTCACAACTGTCTGTAATGCCAGAAGATAACCTCCTCTGGCCTCTGCAGGCACCAGGCATGCAAGTCACCACAGACATGCATGCCGTCAAAACTTTTTAAAAAACTACTGGAAAAATAAAGGGGAGAAATGGACAAAAGGGCACACTTTTGGCACTATTAAAGATGAGAGTGCAGATTTAGATATGAGCAAGATTTAGCAAACAGAAGTGACAAACCAATTGGCTGTTCCACAGCCTGCCTGCTAGCTGCCAGTGATTTACCGATGGGCGCAGTGATTAAAGCCATCTTATAAGGACCATGAAGAAACTGAGTTTCTATTTAAAATTCTGTGTGTGTGTGTGTGTGTGTGTGTGTGTGTGTGTGTGTGTTTCTGAGGATTGCGTGCTAGCAAGTGCTCTACCACTGAGCTGCATCCCATCCCTGATTCTTTGATCTTGTGTGCATGTGTGTGGTAAGGTACAAATGTGCATGTTGGGGTTAGGGCACAATCTCAAGTGTTACTGCTCAGGTGCCTCCCGTTTTTTCCCTGACATAGGGTCTCTCATCGGCCTGGAACTTCACCAAGTAGTCTAGGCTACCTTGCTAGTGAGCTCCAGGGAGTCACCCGTCTTTGCCTTGAATCCCCCCCATGTCTGGGGTTATAGACTTGCAATACTACACCCAGCTTTTTATGTGGGCATGGTACTTGTGAGGCTACTGGCTCTACCAACTGAGCCTCCTCCTCAGCCCCAAGACCATCTGATTTTGATGACAAGAAGAAGCCAGGAGCTTCCTGAGCAAAGGTCTTTGCTGCAGTCCCCACAGCTAACAAGGGCTGAGCCCAGAGCCTCACAGAAGTTTTCAATGCTCTTCAAAGGAGGTCAGAACTGTTCTCCAGTTAAATGAGGAGTGAGTCCTGGCTCACAAACACATTTTGAGAAAACTTATGTGGCCGCCATGGACCACTAACGACAGGCGTTGGACAAATACCTGAGATTATAATGACTCTCAGGTCTTTGCTTTCAGCTTCATGAAGGATGTCACTTCGGAGAGATTTCAGCATGGCCAGTGACAGTGCATTCCTCTTCTTGGGATTGCTTAAGACAATGTTCCTGTGGAAAGCATTTCATAGTCCCTGGGTCATTCGCCAGTCAAAACAAGCGTGGACCCCTGCAATTCCTTTCTAATTTAGGAGCAATTTTGAAACCCAAGAATAGAGAACTGCCAGGGCTTGGTGCCAATTTAAAGGGTCTGTCAGTGCTCTGGAGTGACAGCTGGGTCAAAACAAGAGAAAAAAAAAAAAAGATGACTGGAAAGGTAGGCTAGCCTTCTCCCTAGGCCCTTGATTTGTTTTTGAGCTTTTCTTTCTCTCCTTTCTTTCTTTTGTTCTTTCGTTCTTTCTCTCTCCTGCCACCTCCACAGTCCCCAAATCATCTCTGCCTGTAGGAGATGTGAGTTTCGGGTTACAGTGGCAGGGCTGGGTGACTCTGACAAGCAGGCCCTACCTGCAGCTTTTTTCCAGGCTGTGTCCTTTAGAATGAGGTTAGGAAAGGAGCCAAGCATGAAAAAGTGGCCCCTCCACAGCTCCTCTCACCAAGCTAAAGAAAAGGCAGTTGGGAGGAGGGGGGAGCGGCTGCCAGCACGTGCCTACTGCAGCATTTGTGAGGGTTCTGGTAAGTCTGCGGGATAATTTGAGCCGTCTGCGAATAGAGGACCTACAAAGAGCAGACGGACAAACCCATATAACAGATGTAGCATGTCGCAGAGAGCCGGCACCCAAAGGGCCCTTCGCTATTTTAAACTCACCCGTACTCAGAATAAAACAACCTGTGCTGTCCTCCTACAGCCTTACATAGAAATGTCTTGTTTTTGCTGTCCTGAGAACCAAGCCAGATTCTCGCTACAGGCTTTGTATTTCCTATCAGTATTTTCCCCACTCCCACAGTCTCTAAGCCTTCTTCATCCTCTTCTGAATACGGTATTTTATTGGTACATGGTCAACTGGATCCTCCATAAACAACATTTAGGAGAGTTTTTTTTTTTTTTTTTTTTTTAACAACTTTGAAGACTAAATTTATCTCAGCACAATAAGAATAATCACTCTTTTGGGATTCTGTTTCAGTTTTACTGCGATTACCTGTAACCTTGCAGCAGAATGAGTGTGCACGCAGAAAACACTGTCCCCAAGGCTGGGGACATGGCTCAGGCAGGTCCTCGCTTTGCAAGCATGAGGACCTGCGCTCCATCTCTAGAGCTATCTTTTTTTTTTTTTTTTTTTGAAGTGGGGCATTGTGACATGTACTTCGAATCCTAATCCTGGGGAGGTGGAGACAGACTCCAGGCCAGTGGGAAACCCATCTCAGAAGAGAGGTGGACAGCATGGAGGAGTGGAGCGGCCTTCTGGCTTCTACACAGATGTGCCAGAGACATGTGAGAGCACATGCACAAACACACTTACGAACAAGCCGCCCACCCAGCTTAAATGAAATTCTAAGGCCTTAGGCAAAACTGCACAAAAAGATTCCAACCCAAATGGGCTCGCTCTTTGGTGGTAGCTGTTTGTGTGAGTCTCACTAATCCTTCCAGACGCACTGTCAGACAGCTCTCACTCGCAACCCCACACGCACACTTCTTTTCCCACCACGCCACCGACACCCTTCTCAGCGGCCACCTCCTGAGTGCCAGGACCAGACACTCGGGCGACCTGCACCGCACTCCCCTTTTGGAAACAGTCTTCCCTGGGGAGCGGTCCATGCTTCTCTAGCCTTTTCTGGCCTTCTTTTACGGGCTCCTAGGTTCTGGCAGGAGACACTCAGTGTTCCATCTTTGCCCTCTCTCTGTCCATGCACACTTCTCAGACGACCTCACCAGCGGCGATGACACCCACTCCTCCCTCTGTGCTGACACAGCCCGGTCACTCACCCTAGCTCAAGCTTCTCTCTAGAGCCCCAGATCTGTGTGCTTGCCATGATGTTCCTCTGGACTGCTCCATGAAGGTGTGCACATTGCGTATTTTCCTGTCCCCGCTCAGCCACCCAAGCCAGAGCCTGAAAGTTATTTCACATTGCTGCACAGCTATTTCACAGGGCGTCCACCTTGCAGTCCTTGAGTGATTTAGGAACAATGAATGCAGAGTGTCTGACTCAGCTCTCATTCCACAGCCGCCCCTCGTGGTATAGCGGCCCTATCGCGCTGGGCACAGCTTTGAACCGGGACCCTTAACGTGACTGAGCCGCACAAGTCCATCTGCTTAGAGCTTACCATGGCACTGCTCGAATGCCTGACTCAGGGAGGGAGACTCTCGATACACGATCCCTATGATTTACACCCAACTGGCCTCATCACCTCCTCTTCTGGTTCACTCCTGATTTGTGTTTAATTGGGAAGGACTCAGTCTCCTACCTACCTTTTGTCAGAATTTCTGATTAGATAGGACCAGACTTCGTTTTAGGGGCAGAGGGGCTTGGTCTTCCTATGTAGCCCAGGCTAGCCTTGAACTTGCTATGTAGTCCTGGCAGGCTTTGAATTCAGGATCCTCCTGCTTCAGCCTTCTAAGTGGTGGGATTAGAGCCTGTGTGACAACACCCAGCCTATGATCGTAGGATCAGTGAGAAATGGGACCATTCCAGACTAGAAAGAAAAACAACTGGACCTTGAATAAGGGCCAGCTAAGAAAGAAGAACAAGTCTGGCAATTAAGGGCTACTAAACCTTGAGCAGAGGCCAGACCAGATGGCCCTCCTCAAAAGACTGGATAAGCTTGTTTTAAGATAAGAAACCTGGCACTGGAAAGACTGTCCTTGAAGCTGTAAGCTGCCAACTGCAAACTGCTATCTTTTCTGCTGACTAGTCAATGTAAAGGCCTGATTTTTAGGTATAAAAACTCTGTGCTTGGTATGCTCGAGGTCGTCTCCTGCTTTGAAGGGACGACCCCCATAGCAATCAGAATAAACTGCCTCTTGCTTTTGCATCGAACCGCGGTCTGTGAGTCTCTTTGGGGAGGGAGCGGTACGGTGCCCCTGCATCGGGAGTGCAGGTTTTGCATCAGAAGCAGAGCTGCCCCTGTGTGGGCTCTCCTCTTCAGAGCCCTGGCTTTCTTTCAGAGTGTCTCTATCTCTGTTGACAGGCAAGGAGTCCACAGGAAATGGGATTAATTTAGTTACTGAGCTCCCCAGACGCCTAGCCCCTGTGGTAGGCACCCATGGACCCACAGTTGTCTGTAGGGAGCTAGGGGACAGACAGAAGACGGGCATTCAGGACGGGTATCTGCAGAGCTGTGTGCCTTTAGTCCCTTAAAGGCAGCAGCCGTTGGGAGGGGTGAAGGGAAGACGTGGGCAAAGCAGAAGGCCAGAGGCGGGCTCTGGGAACACACAAAGTTTGGGTGAGGATTACGAAGTCAGACACGGCTTCTAGGATTAAGAAGGCCTGTTTAAACAGCTCCAACTGAGACTCTTAAACATGGAAACACAGCTCCTTTCTCAGCCTTGTCCTGGCCAGGCCAGCGGTCAAGCCTGGAAAGGATCTCCATTCCTCTGTGCTCCAGCTTGTGCACTGACGCATGTTTAAGGCTTTTAGGTTGTGACACCAAAGGGCGTGTGCCCTTTATCCTTACTTACTGATCTACCCCCACCCTGCTTTTCAGCATGCCCTCACTCAGGAGCCTGCCTAACGATCTCTCTTGTGACAGGTTTTCTGACAGGTTTTCTGCGAGGCCATGGCAACAGCAGGTGGGATGCAAATGCTGCCCACGCCAGCAAAGATTCGGAAATGACTGGGTAGCTGAGCATGGTCGCCCAGTTAGGGGCCAGCAGGCGGTTTTCACTTACAGCCCTCACATACGCGGAGGGAAGGGACACCTGTAAACTTAGTTTGCAAGAATCCCTCCACTAAAGAGGTCATCTTTTCGAGATGAACCGAGAAGACGAGCAGTGACGGATAATTCAGGATTCAGTGGCGGCGAGGCCTGTTTACCCCGAGTCCTGACGCCCAACTTGAGGGAGAGCCCTGGCACTGCCCGCGGGCTGACCTGATTCCGTCCTGCTGTCGCGTGCTGGTGGGCCTGGGTTCCGACTCCGGCCGCGCGGGTGCTGCTGACCCCGGGCTGCAGAAGCCGGCGGAGAGAGGGGCCCACGGGCTGCGCCAGAGCCAGCTGGGCCCCTTCGCCCCAAAGGCCCGCAGGCCGGCGACCACCACCATTGCAGCCAAGGAACAGGAACGACCTGCAAGCGGCCTAGGCCTCAGGTTTTCTTTCCTTTCCAGACCTGACCGCACAGAGCCCCGCCCTCAGGGCCCCACTCCCAAACCCCACCCCCTGTGGCCTCCTGGAGCAGCCCGCCCCCCGGAACCACGCCTCTGAACCCCAGGGCTCCTGTCCTGCCCATAGAGTAGGTCACTAATTTGAAACTCCGACCAGTTCCAGCGGTTTGTTTGGTTTAGTGAGGCTGTGAAAGAGTTTAAGGGAGGGGAGAACCGGGACAGCTCGTTTCTTTGTGCAATGGCACCAGGAATGTGCCGGATGTTGTGAAATGCGCGTCGCCGGGTGATGAGTGGCAGGGCTATGTTCCACATTGCTTACGCCCACGCCTCCCACAGGAAACACTCCCATGCCTCGTGGGTGATCCCGGATCACAAGGAGTATTTAGCCCACCACGATTTTAATGTTTTGCATCTTCTTCCCGCGCAGACGCGGGAGGCCCTTAATTATAGCTTGGGCTTTCCACGTTCACCCAGGGGAAGCCGGGACTCATTTTCAGGATCCTAGTGGCAGAATGAGAGGCACATCCCGCAGTGGAAGGCTTTAAATAAAGGTAGACTAGCCTCCTTGCTTTTTGGTAATTCTTGCAAGTGTGGGTGTTTGTGGGAGACACAGAATAAACAATCTTAGCGCAGGATTGCATTGCCTCTAGAGGGAGGAGCCTGCACCCTTTCCCACGGGGTTTTTGCAAGGATAACAGTGTACAAATTACACCTAGTAAGTCTCAGAAAGTAGACAAAATTCACAAGTGTTAGGAAGCTCCTGAAACATATAAGATCCACAAGGCCCCTCTCCGAGTTTTTATTAGAAGTAACAGTTGTTAGACAAACTAGACTGCTTTATAAGCTGATCTACCTGCAAGGCATCCCAGGAGCTCCAGGGATGCAGCCTCTGTGAGTATCACCTGCGCTGATGTGGGGCTTTAATAGCTGAAGCTGCTTTTGGGTCATCCATGTCCCTGCAAAGGAGCCCCTCACCCCTCCTTCTGTAGGTAACTCCAGTGCACTTACTGCTCTCCTGAGCTAGCACTGGGTACAATCATTTCTTTAGTCGGTGAATGTCTCTAAGAAAAGCCACACAGAGGCTGTTTGTTTTGAGACAGGGTCTCTCTATGCAGCCTTGGCTGTCCTGGAACTTGTTCTGCAGACCAGGTTGGCCTCGAACTCACAGATATCCTCCTGTCTCTGCCTCCTGAATGCTAGGATTAAAGGCATGTACCACCACTGATCACAGAGAGCTGTTAATAATACACAAGGGTTTAAAATGAACAAAGCCCTCGTTCTCAGCATGTACAAGACAATTTGAAATGGCATTTAAGATTCCCCCACCACCCTTCGTCCCTCCATTTCCTTAACATTTGCTCTCTCCAGGAGGCTGGATTATTCTTTGCTTCAGTGAAGAAACCCAGGATCCAGCGGAATTCAGGAGTTCAGAGGGTTGCAGTTCTTGACTTCTGAGTTTTTAAAGCTTGGCTTTTAGGGATGGGGGAGAACAAAGCAAGCATAACAGGTTGGCCTTGCCTTGTTAGACCAAACAAACGGTAGAGCTGGCCCATGAGCTTTTTTGAAATGATCTCCCTTCCCTTAGGAGTGTGGTGTGAGCAAATCTAGCAGCAGGAAGCAGTGAGGCTCACCCTCCAGGTCACGTGTGCCTAGCACACCAGGCGGAGTGCCAAGGGTTGGTGCCAGGGAGGTTGTCTGTGGTAGACAAGGCTTCCAGCCTGAAGCTGATTCAGATTTAGGGCAAGTAGAGCCTATGGGAAAAAGAAGAAGAAAAGGAAGAAGAGGGTGACAATTATGGGAAGTTGGGAAAAAGAGCTGGCCAAGGTCCCCTAGAGGAGAATGGAACAGTGAGACGCCTCAGCCGGGACAGTGGCAGTCCGGCTCTTTTTCATTGGTAGAATCTCAGAGAAGTCACGAGAGCCCAGGGCCACAGAACGTCTGGGCAGACAGGCCTCAATTCCACATAGGGTTTCTTGTGGCCTAGTGACTACAGAATGGTTCCTGTCTTCTGAGAAGGGCTTGGAGATAGTATGTAGAATGACATGTTGAAAGCAAGGTCTGGGGCTGGAGAGATGGCTCAGGGCTTAAGAGCACTGGCTGTTCTTCCAACGGTCCTGAGTTCAATTCCCAGCAACCACATGGTGGCTCACAACCATCTGTAATGAGATCTGGTGCCCTCTTCTGGAGTGCAGACACACATGCAGGCAGAATACTGTATAAATAACAAATAAATATTCAATTAAAAAAAAAAAGAAAACAAGGTATGAATAAGGACTTCTTAGCAGCTTCATGAATGACTTTCTATGATAAAGTTTGTATTGGAAATGTTTCCCTTCCTCAGACCTCTGTATCAAAGGCTTGATTACCAACCCCTGGACCTACTGGGAGCTGGTAGAACCTTTAAGAGATGGGGCCGAGGTAGAGAAAGCTAAGTTGCTGACAACATGTCCTTGAAAGAGATCATGGCTGTCATTAGGTAAACAGGCTTTGCTATTATTGCCATTATGCTAAAAAGGTATAAGGCCACAAGGCCAAAGAACCATGGACCAAAAGCTCTGAAACTGGCAGCAACAGGAACCCTTTTCTCATGTTAAGATGGTTATCAGAGGTTTTGTTATAGCAAAGTTAACTCAACCCATAGCCTTCAGTCATGCCAAACTATGCCGAGGCAATAACAAGGCGAGTCACAAGGTTCAGGGCTAACCTGGGCGATGTAGTGAAACTCTGCCTCAAACAAAACAAAAACACATTCAGTTGTTCAAACAACAGAGACTCATTAGCGGAAGGCCTTGGATCACATCAGCACTGCCCTCAAGTAGGATCTTGCTGGGAAGTTGTTAGACCCCAGGGCAGAGGAAGAAGAGAGAAGAAAGTGAATTTTAATGCATGGGAAAACCGTGAACAGGCGTTTAAAAAGTCCTTTTGCACATGCCACTTGTTCTCATGTTTTATTTCTGAAGCAGGCCACATGGCTGCACTGAGCTGCAGGTGTATGGGAGGATTTGGAAGAGGGATCCAGGATCTTTGTCTCAGTACAGAGCCTTGTTATGATGAGCTAATTTATGCTTACTATTTCGGGTTTGGTAAGACAAGTTGAAATGGGCTTAGGTTAAGTTTTCGCCACTAAGCCAACTGGGATTTTGAAATCACGTTGATCTCATGGAGCTGGTGGAATGGCTCAGCAGGTAAACTTTGCTTGCCCCCAAGCCTGATGACCCAAGTTCAGTCCCCAGGGCCCATGTGGAAGAAGAACAACACTGACTCGTATGAAACTGAAACTGTTCCCTGACTCCACACGTGCGTCATGACATGTGCGGGTGTGCAGGTACACACAGATGACACACTAACTAAGTGTAAGAGAGACTTTATAAAACTAAGCGGATGAGCTTATAAGGATAAATTCATAAGATCTGCATAGTGATAAGTGTAAGTATATAAACTTGTGATTTGTATAGTGAGAGATACAGAACTGTGTTGTGTCTCCCTTCTCTTTCTCCCTCCTCCTCCCTCCCTGTCTCTCTCTCCCTCTCTCTCTGTATCAGCTTGGGGCCAGTTTTTATTAAAGTTTAAGAGGAACTCCCAGGGCAAGCGGTACATTTTAGCATCCCAGAGGAGGGGGAGAATAGAGGGAAATAAAGGGGATGGGGAAACTAAGCCATTTGAGTGAAGTTGGCGTGGAGGTCAGCACATGGGGGCAGGCATCCTCACATGGCAAGGATGAGGATGGGGCTTTAGACAAAGAGCAAGAGGGCACGAAATATCAGGAAAATCATAGGCCGGGCCGTGATGGTGCATGCCTTTAAGTCTAGCACCTGGGAAGCAGAGGCAAGCCAGTCTTTGAGTTTGAGGCCAGCCTGGTTCCAGGATTGCCAAGGCTATACAGAGAAACCCTGTCTTGAGAAACAAAAGGCAAAAAACAAACAAACAAACAAAAGCAAAACTCAACTTACAACTCACCAGCATGACAAGGAGACAGAAACAAGAAAAAAGAAAAGTTGCAGCTCTCAGATTCAGAAAGGTGAGACACAACAGAATTTGTGGATGTGAGCAGGGGGAGGGTGGCCCACACCTCTAAGGCCAGCACTTGGGAGGTAGTGGTAGGAGTACTAGAAGTTCAAGACCAGCCTGGGCACCGACTCTTGCCACTTGGCTTAGAACACACAGCACCTTCTAGCGAGGGATAAGAAAGAGTGGGGTAAATATGACAAAGTGTGTCTGTCTCAAAAAACGTACGGCAAAACTGTGGACGTGGAGGGTAAATGTACAGGCTTTGGGAAAAGGAGTGAATCAGGGCTGTCGGAGTATGGATATCAGGATGGAATGGACAGTGCCGGCAACAGCTCGCACACAAAGAGGGATGTGGAGATGGGCGACCATCGACCATCGATCGCATTACCCAGCAGGGATCGTCACAAGTGGCTGAAACACTCACTGGTCCATCTCGAGGCGGTGCAAGGCTCTTTGCGAATTCAGGCAGCTTCTCCAGGCCCTGTCCTCCTCCCGTTCATTTTTTTTTTTCCACGTCTTTATCCTCTCTTGTTCGGAGCTCTTCTAATCTACTTTCCACGCGGTCCTTCTCGCAGACAATCTGATTTCTGGGTTGCTAGCAGGCTCCTCTCTGCCTTTGATTTATGCACCGTTTCCCGAGAGCCCCGGTCTCTGTTGGAGGACGCGTCCCTTTAAGAAACCACAGGTGCTTGGAGACCCGCTGCAGAAACCGCGCTGAATAAAAAGAGCCTTCCAGGGAGCCTGGTATCTCGGGTTTGATGTGGACATGAAGGAGGATTTAGGCCTCTTCAGGGCGCAGAGAAAGGAAAGTGAAGGGCAGTTTTTTGTTTTTTTTTTTGTTTTTTTTTTTTTTGTTTGTTTGTTTGTTTTAGTTTGTTTTGGAGTGGTTTTTGGACTTTCTAAAAATTACATCCTCTCTCTTAGGAAGAAATGAGATGATGTGGCTCAGAGGTACAAAGGGCAAGATAGAGGTAGGAACTTCGCTCTGGCGCCGATTCTGCTAGCA